CTTTAAAGTGCCTTTGTTTACGATTAGATAAGCAAGGTTAAAGACTGTAGACCAAATGGTTTATGCATCATATCACATAATTAAATTACATTATATACCTTAGTAATTTAATTTGCCTAAACAAATGTTTACAATTCCAATTTTGGTCCTTTATCTTAAAATTATTATTATGTTTTGGATATTTTTGCCATAGGGTGCTTGCACTCACTGGAGAGGCAGACATACAAAATAAAAAATCACCCCTATTTTTACATTTTTAATGAGCTATGTTTTAGTACATTCTTGTGAGCTTGGTAGAGTACAAAGAGCACTAACTTAGAAAAATATTTTTAAGAGGCCAGCAGATGGCGTAATGGTTACGGTGCTGGTCTCCCATATAGTCAGCTGCAGTTCAAGTCCTGGACCTGGCAGTTTAAAAAAACTCACACTGGGCACATGTGTGTACATGCCCCAAATCCTGAAAGGATAGAGGAGAAGGGATCGTGGCATAGCCACTCTCCCTAGGGAATGAGTTCTCGCTTTCTGTCTCTTTCTCTCTCCGGCAAGCACATGCTCCTTAGAGCAAAAATCTCTCTTTAAATTTTTTTAAGTTTATTTACTTATTTCATCCATGAGAGAAACAGACACCACCAAAAGGTCTTCACACTGATCCAACCCCCCAGACTCAGCCTGGACCATGGACAACTGCACGTGTACCCAGTGTTTCCAGAGAGGTCCCGGAATATGAACCTAGGACTTCACCTTTGTGGGTCCAGTTGAGCTACCATTGTGCCACTGCCTTGGGGCCCCAAGAGCTGATATATTTTTTTAAGTCCAAAAAAAAAGGGAACTTATTTAAGTATATCCAGGGCTCCCAATTTTGGGTGACCTGGTTTTATGGATTTCAGTGCCATTTCATTGACTCTGTTGAAGGACATCTGAAGAACGGACATGACTTCCAGCCACTAGTGAGCATATATCTGAGCACTGTTCTCTACAAACCCTGAGTGGGCTCACATGGAGACCACTGGGGTAGGTAAGAGTGATCTTAGCTGCCAGGTCTGGGACTCAAACCGTGGTCCACTAAGTGGGAGTTCAGTGATGTAACTGCTGGTCCCAAGAGGCAGATTTTTAGCAGAAGAGAGTATGATCTATACCCATTTCCCCTTCTCTCTCTCACACTGGTCTTATCTCCTCTGCCTGTATACCCACCAGAGCTCCATTCTGAGGCCCCACCCTGGGATACCTCGAAGGGATTACTTAACACATTACAGTGTAAGTGGGTGTCCTCTGTGAGTGGGTGTCTGATGGGAAGTCCCAACACATGGATTTCTGGGGGAGATCTAAACCATAGTGTGTCGTAAAGGGGACAGTCCTGGGTTGAGGAGCACTGTACAAGTTTCAGCCCAATATTTTCTCCTCAGACCTAGTGTTCCTCCCCAGTTATCTTGTATAGAAATTTGTTTAACCTTTCTGTCCTCTGCTTATCCAGCTGGTCTTGAGAATGACTATTTTCTGAAATAGTTTAACTTGGTATTTAAATACTATGGTTTTATTTATTTAGAGAGAGCTTTTTCCTATAGGGCATGTGTGCTCACCAGAGAGACAGAGACAGAGAAACAGAAAACAATCATCCCTCCTAGGGGGGATGACCATAGTACAATCTCTTCTCCTCCATTTTCCTCTTGGGATCTTGGGCACACATACACATGCACCTAGCGTGAAATTTAAACAGCTGGGTCTAGGACTCAAACTGTGGTTGACTATGTGGGAGTTCAGTGACATAACCATTATGCCATCTATTGGTCCCAGTAATTCAAATACTATGTAAAGGCAATAATGCTACATAAAATCTCACAGCTTGTTGAAATGAAAAAAGAATTAAACATCTAAAATGAAAGGCTAAAATATCATTTTATTTTTAAAAAAAGTCCCTGAGTGATAGGCCATTTGACATACCAAATAAACACACATGTGAACTTCTTTGAACCAGATGAGGAAAAATCGCAACATGCTTTGCTTTAGTGTAAAAATCAATTTATTATACAACAATCATACAGAATGCTTCATATCTACAAAGAAAAATGGCTTCTCCTGTCTCCCCGTCCACCCTAATCATGATACCATGTTAACAGCCAACTACTTTCAAAGGAAAACAAAATAGTGATATTCTTATTTTCCAATAAGAAAGCCCCAACTCACAAATTGATATGAAAATATTGGAAAGAACTAGAATAGCCTCTTTTTTTTTTTTTTTTGAGAGGTTTTCGCTGTAGGGCGCGTGCGCTCGCCAGACAGACAGAGAGAGACAGAGAGCGAGAAATCACCCCCCAGGGGGGATGGTCACGCCGCAATCCCTTCTCCTCCATTCTCCTCTCGGGATCTTGGGCACGCACGCACATGCGCCCGGCGTGAGATTTAAGCCACCGGGTCTGAGATGCGAACCGCGGTCGACTACGTGGGAATCCAGCGACATAGCCATTACGCTAACTGCTGGTTCCCTAGAATAGCCTCTTACATACAAAATGCTGTCCTGCTCATCATAGTAAATGCCATTTTGCCTTAAAATGATAGTAAGAAATACTCTGTTGGGGGTGGGGAGGACTTTATCCCCCAGAATGTGTGTGTGTGTGTATATATGAATACATATATGTATGTATACATATACATGTAAATATAATTTTGATAGGCTGAAAATTCCATTTGGTAAACACTCTTATTTTGTTAGCTTAAAAACTGGAGGAATTATTAACAGATAATGCTTTGTAGTATTCATTTAAGTGTGTTCATTCCCATGAGTAAGAGGGAATTTATTTGAGAAAAGATATTTTCCATTTTTTTTAACAGATCATACAGTTAGCATTTTTTTCTCTTTTTTTACAGCTCTGTTTTAGGAAAATTACATTCAAAAGGAAAATTTTGTCTTTTTAAAGTTACAACACTTAGTGACAGGGTAAACTACCTGATTCAGATCTTGTGGCTAAGATTTCCTAACTCTGGATTTTCATCAGCCCTTCAATGGTGTAAGGCTCTAAGTGTTTTTACTAAACTTGACTAAAATGAACCAAGTTAGAAGTATCCTGAAACTTATCACTTAAATTTCTGACATCAGTTTGGAAGTTCATTACCAAGTTTTCCACTTTGATCTGAGAGGTTTCAAAGCTGCTTGACTTTGTATGTCTGCTGAAGGATGGATAGCTCCTTGCTGTGTAGACACGAAGCCCATGAGAATGTCCCACATTACAGATATGGTGCAGTGAGACTGGGGGGGGGGCCTCATTAGCAATCACGAATAAGCTGAATACCATGACTGGTGAGGTCTGTCTTCTAAGTTTTTGTTTGTTTGTTTGTTTGTTTGTTTTTAAGCCTGGAGTGCACTTTGGTAATAGATTTTAGCCAGTGTTTGAAATGTAAAACAGAACCACATTCCAGTTTCTCCAAGGAGCTTCTCTTTAGTCCAGCTCGTTTTCTCATAGAAGAGCAGTAACAGTCATATCTGAAGCCAGCCCTTATTTGAAAACGAATTGCAGGAAAGGAACAATCCATTAGATACAGTTAAAAGGTGATGGAAGTAGTAATATCTAAGCACCCTGGAGCAAAAGTCCATTTTAGAAAAGAATGTAGAAAGAAATAGAAGAGTAAGCAGGCATCAGACAGGAAGAGGTCTGTTCAACAGAAATAGATCCTCTGGCATTAACAACCTTTCAGAAAATACCCAGAATCTTGAGGGTAGATCGCATGAAGTAAAACTTAGAAAAATCAGTACGATTTTTAACTGGGAAAATCATTTTTAAAAAATCATTTTATTTATTTTTTAGTTTGACTGGAGAGGGAAAATGAGACAGCAAGCCACCAGGTCCAGGACTTGAACCATGGTCAGCCATGTGGGAGTTCAGCACCTTAGCCACTGTACCACCTGCCGGCCCCACTGGGAAAGTAATTTTAAAAAGGAAGCTTGGAAGGAAAGAAGGCCAAGAAGGGACAGAAAGGCATTCTGGGTAGGAATGTGTCAGGGCAGTATTAGAGAAATTGTCTTTCCGGTGCTGACACACTTGATGTCAGTGTGATAACCTGAAACCTTACTTTAAAAACACAAGGTAGGAAAGAAGACGGTCTGTCAAAATGGGGAGGTCAACTTTTATAGCGTGTAAGTTCATCAGATCTCCAGGAAATACTGTCTCGTTTCTTGGTAGAGTTGATAGTCACTGACGGTCCGACAAAGGATGAAAGGAAGTATTCTTGAACGCTTTCGCCGGCTTTTGTGTTGGCTTCTCGGGAGGGACCGCAGGATCTGAGCAGGGGAAGGATGTGCCGAGTTTGTCACAGGCATTTTCATCCTGGCTGCTTGCCAGCCCATGGCTCAGTGTTGGAATCTTTCCAAATTATTCTTCTTTCTGTTTTCAAAAGTTTAACCTGCCAAGAGTGACAGCAGGTCTTTATTCGCAAGTAGGCTCATGAGAAAGAGTTTGAGAAATCCAGTTTCTGTCCTGCACCCCTTGTTCTGTGACTCCTGATTTATTAATATTTAGTGGCACAAAGAGAAGGACGATTGGACTCCAGTTCTTGTAAGGAAATGGGCAGCCAGACTTACATGCCACTTTTAGTATGGAGTATTGTGTCTTTATTAACCTAGCCTAACTAACACAAGAGGTAGACAGGAATGTATGAATAATTAAACCAAATTAACAGTGAGGAATTCACTCCTATCCAAAGCCCCTGAGTGATGAGGATTTGGCTGAAGAATTTTCTTCTCCTTTGAATAACTAATCTTCAAAATAAAAACAAAGGAGTTTCATTACCCTAAGTTTAGCATCATGAGTGGTTATAGGAATTTGACAGACAAGACTCTGGTTTGAAGGGAGAAAGGTGTTGCTAGATTGTTCTGTCTTCCATTTAGGACCTAGTTTCTGGGGTTGATTCCTGAAGGAACAAAGGGACTGATTGCTTTATGCACTGGTACTTAATGCTTCATGTAGATGAGAACATACCCTGAATTAGAATATAGTATGTGGTTTTAAACATTTTAGTCAGAACAAAACTTTTTATTTGAGGATTTGCCCGGGGTAACAATGCTCATGGTTGCTGGCTTTGTACATCGGTAAGGCGTTACAAAGACAGCCTCTGGTCGGGGTTAGGTCTGTGTCAGCGGGCGGGCGGAAAAGGCGCACCAGTTCTGAGGTCTAGAGAGTTCAGCATCACCTCAATGCTGACCCAAAGCATTCAGTTAACAGATTACCTAATAGCCATATATTAATACATTCTGGGTACAAATGATTTATAAACTCAAAAGAAATTAGTTGCTGCTAAAACGTGTGTAACTTTCAATTCAGTCTTTGCTTTAAAACAAGCGAATCTGTTAAGCTGGTGTAGGCGCTTCTTCAGTTGCTCCGCTTTCACTGTGCCTTCTTGTTGGTCACTCCGTTAGCCACACCGAAGTAAGCTTTGGAAAACCCATTCTTAACTTCTTTTCCTGCAGAGGGCTCACGCATATCTTTCTTCATTGGCTTTTTTCGGTATGTCTTTTGGATGTGTGTATTTTTGGAAAGAAAGAAAAAAAGGATTATTAAGACCTGGTCTCTGATGTTGCACATAGTTAAAACAACACATTTTGTTGGGCACTGGACTTTCTAAGTAAGAGTTGCTGTTTAGGGCCAGATGGTGGCACAGCAGTAAAATGTGATGATCTAAAAGGCAATTCCACATGGAAAGTAACCAGTTCAAGCCTCAAGGCCTCCCTGAGCAAAAACAGGTACATGCAGGACCAGCAGATGGCGTAATGGTTATGTCACTGGACTCCCAAGTAGTCAACCATGGTTTGAATCCCAGACCCGGTAGCTTAAAACTCTTGCTGGGTATGTGTGCATATATCACCAAAATCCCCAGAGGGGAATGGAGGAGAAGGGATTGCTGTATGGCCATCCCTCCTAAGGGGTGACTTCTCGCTTTCTGTCTCTCATCTCTGTCTCTCCAGCAAGCGCACGTGCCCTACAGCAAAAATCTCTCTTAAAAAAAAAAAAAAAAGACATGTGTGCGTCCCTGATCCAGGGCTGGTTAAGATGGATTGTGGTGTTAGGACACTGTGAGGAATTCTGTCTCTCTCACTTACAAAAGAATTAAATAAGTATACTTGGGCAGGGGGAATCTAGGCCAGCCTCATGGCCTGCTGTTCAAGGAAGCTGAAGCCCATATGGTCGAATGTGCTTCAACTCTCAGACCTGGTGGCTTGGAAAACATGCACACATGTATGTGCACATGTGTACCCCAAATCCCAACAGGGTGGAGGGATGGGGAGGACACTGCATGGTACTCCCCCACCCTGTCTCTGGCAAGTGCATGAATGCCCTCTGGCAGCTAAAATTGTTTTTAATTAAAAAATAGATATGTATAACCATTTGAAGCCTCTGATTACAGATGAAATGAGGTACAAACACTGACAAATGTGTGAATTTCAATGAAAAGTTGTTTCTTTCATCTTATCTATGTTAGGATTTGTGTAGTATATTAGCTTTCAAATTATTCCACACTTGTTCACTTGGAGAAAATATTTAAAAGAAATATAATTGAAGTTAAAAGTGCTGTTAAAGTGTTAATATTATTGGGACCAGCAGTTGGTGTAATGGCTATGTCACTGGACTCCCATGTAGTCGACCACAGTTTGAGTCCCAGATCTGGTGGCTTAAACTCACACTGGGCACGTGTTGCGTGTGTGTGTCCCAGATCCCAAGAGGAGAATGGAGAAGAAGGGATTGCAGTGTGGCCATCCCCACTGGGGGTTGATTTCTCATTTTCTGTCTCTCTGTCTCTGTCTTTCTGGTGAGCACACGGGCCCTATAGCAAAAACCTCTCCAAAAAAAAAAAGTGTTAATATTATTAATAACAGCATATCTTTCATCTTATTTTTACTTATTAACCCCCTGCTTTAAAAAAAGGGGGGGGGGAATCAAGGCTAAAATTATATGCTCAATTTTAGGACCAAGATTCCGTATGAGCCAGCTTGTAGGGTTAAAGCATTTCGCACCATGACCTGCCCAGCTGGGCTTCAGACTTCTCTTCCAATTTTAATACTTGGTGCAAAAATGACTCCCCCTTAGCTTTCCTTTACCACTCAGTGGTGGCTTTTTGTTTTTTGTGTGCGTGTGAGTGTGTATGGCTTTGTTTGGTTCCACTAATAGTTATTTCTTTACAAACTTTGATCTCAAAAAAGACAAAGCCTACTCAGTCCAATTGCAGTTAAGACAAGATCTGAAAAGCTATCAAAAGCTCAGTCCCCAAAGTTGTACTTTCATTTTATTTTATTTTTATTAAATTCACAACAGCGTGTGCATGAGCGAGAGAAGCACCTTCCACGGTGGCTGCACACATCGTGCCCTGCATGGTTCTGGGCATGCACACGCCTGGCGTTTTCAGGCCAGCTGGGTTGGGGTCTCGAACACAGTGGGCGCATGCCTTCCAACGCTAGCCTGGCACCCACCTGACTGTGCCACAGAGGCTGGGTCTCCCACAGTTGATTATTTTTTTTCTAAAACCACTGCGGGTTAATTTTTTAGCACATGCAAACTAAAAAATTAAGAAAGCACTTACTGTTTGAAAAAGGAAATTCAGTTGAATACAATTTCAAAAGTTCTGTTTTGAATATAAATATATGTTCTTATTCTTTTAGGTGAAGCTTTCCATTTCCCCAGCCCACAAAGGAGAGCAATTTAAATCTCCAGCCACCTGAGGCCTGCCCCATTACAGCTTTCATGGCTTCCTCCATAACTGAGTCTCTTTGAACTCCATTTGGAAGCTCTCTTCTATTCACATGGTTAATTAAAGAGAAAATGATACTTGATAAAAAGTCAATGTGACCTTTCTGCACTGGTCTGCCAGAGTCTACAACATCAAGGGAACAGTATTTTTTTTTAATATTAAATTCAATATGCCCATGTTTTTCTCCCTTCGTGTTGATTCCTGGATCTGTATTTAACTTTCAGACTTTGGTACCACAGTACAAACATGCTGCAAATGAAGAACTGTATCTATAACCCAATGATTTTTTTTTTTTTTGAGAGTTTTTTGCTATAGGGTGCATGCGCTCGCCAGAAAACAGAGAGACAGAAAGTAAGAAATTATCCCCCGGGGGGGAGATGGCCATGCCGCAATCCCTTCTCCTCCATTCTCCTCTCAGGATCTTGGGTACGCACGCACACATGGCCAGTGTGAGTTTAAGCCCTGGGTCCGGGACTGGAACCTCGGTTGACTACATGGGAGTTCAGTGACATAGCCATTATGTCAACTGCTGGTCCCATAACCCAATGATTTGATGAAACTGTGGGAGCATGCTTTGAAAAATGTCCACAGGTGCTCTCTAGACTAGTGGCCGTGGCTATCCGTCGAGGAGGAAGAGCAGGGTTAGGAATGCGAGTCTCCCGTTGTCCTTTGTGGACTGCTGTTACTGGGATTTACCAGCAGCCATGTGCTACTGTAGAATTTAATCAGTAAAATTAAACGACATATGATGCCACAGCGTATAGTCCGCTAGCTTTACTGCTGTTTATGTTACACATACCTGAACGTAGAAATTTAAGAACAGGATGACCAAGGTCAGCATGTAGGAAGACTGGAAGATGAGGCAGCCGAAGGGGAAGCCACAGGGGCTCACGACAGAGAGTTTTTTGCTATAGGGTGCATGCGCTCGCCAGAAAACAGAGAGACAGAAAGTAAGAAATTATCCCCCGGGGGGGAGATGGCCATGCCGCAATCCCTTCTCCTCCATTCTCCTCTCAGGATCTTGGGTACGCACGCACACATGGCCAGTGTGAGTTTAAGCCCTGGGTCCGGGACTGGAACCTCGGTTGACTACATGGGAGTTCAGTGACATAGCCATTATGTCAACTGCTGGTCCCATAACCCAATGATTTGATGAAACTGTGGGAGCATGCTTTGAAAAATGTCCACAGGTGCTCTCTAGACTAGTGGCCGTGGCTATCCGTCGAGGAGGAAGAGCAGGGTTAGGAATGCGAGTCTCCCGTTGTCCTTTGTGGACTGCTGTTACTGGGATTTACCAGCAGCCATGTGCTACTGTAGAATTTAATCAGTAAAATTAAACGACATATGATGCCACAGCGTATAGTCCGCTAGCTTTACTGCTGTTTATGTTACACATACCTGAACGTAGAAATTTAAGAACAGGATGACCAAGGTCAGCATGTAGGAAGACTGGAAGATGAGGCAGCCGAAGGGGAAGCCACAGGGCCTCACGACAGCACTCAGGGTGTGTGTAATGGTGAGGAGGAACTGAACCTGTGTGGGGAGAGGGCGTAACAGTGAGCCAGCCCCCCCAGTCTCGTGGGGCCAGGCCAGGGTTCAAGCAGGTTAGATGGGCACGACCACCGTTTTCTGGAAACCTTGCAGGAACAGCAAGTGTCCTGGAGCGCTGCCTTATCCAGAAACGTTACTGGAATTACATCAGCGTATAAAACGGCTCATTATTAATTTCTCATGAAAAGTAGGAGCTAAGATTATTTAGATAAAAACTACTTATAAAGCACTAAATTGTATTAAAAAGTATTCTATATTTCAAAGCAACGCACTTACCACTGTATGCATCTTACATATACAAAGGATATGTTAACATACATATTTACCATGGGCACCTTCAGCACATACAGAAAGGCCTCTGACATCTGGAGAGACTAAGATTTCTATTTCCTTCCCCTCATCCCTGAGCCACCTGAAGAGCTGAAAGGAGGAATAACATACCAGTTGGGCCTGCGTGAGGTATTTCTTCCACCAGAGGTACTTGTGCATGGAGGGGAACACAGAAAGGCCGTAGTAGGAGTACATCAGAATGTGGATAAAACTGTTCAGTGTCGGTCCAAAGAAACCTGTGGAAGTACAGTGTGAACATCACCACCACTCTAGGAAGTAGGGCTGTTCATTCTTTGTCAAGTGAGAGTCTTCCAGTGCATCGTCACTGAAGGTGAACAGCAAATACGACATGATTATATAATAGAACTCACATTGGCAACTTCCCCATCACTGTGCCCTTATTCAGAGTTTCAGAAAAAACTCGTAGATGGGACTAAACTGGGGTCTTTTTCATTTAGAGTGCCAAACAGGATTCCTTATTTACAAAGGTTTTACTATTTCTTTAGCTGTCACTTTGTGAGCTAATCAGGGGGGAAAAAAACGTTAGCTCAAACCTGGTGGCAAAATTCTGAGAGCGAGCTGTCTTTGCGCTGAACCATGGGTAAGCCATTTTGCGCTGAACCATGGATAAAGCCTTTTGCCTGTGGCTGAACAGGGTAATGCAGAGACATATCAGTTCTTCATAATCAAGGAAATTCTACCGGAAGGGGTCTTGGGAACCAAGAGTTTCTGGAGAGGTGAGAGAAGGCTGAGGAGAGGGAGAAGCTGGCCAGTGGTCTCAGGAATATGTGAAATCCTGTCCCCCGCCATCATCTTCCTGAAGAGTCCTCCCTACAATGGTGGCCAATGTAAGTGAACAGTGTTTCAGGAAGCCAAAAGGGAGAGGGCTATTATATGTTGGGTCAACTAAGGCTGCAAGATTTAGCTGTAAGAGATGAGATGTCACAGATTACCTATGACAGGGAACTGATGGTTGTAAGGATTACAGTACATAAAAATGCTTAGAACAGTGCTTGGTACAGTGAATACAGGTGATAGTTTGGGATCCAGATGGCTGGTCTGGGAGCTGTCCGTACAATGGTGGGAGAGTCTGACATTAGAGAACCACTTGCTAGCTCGGTCTGCTTGGATACAATGGCTGTAAATATTTATTTTTTATCTAGAAAACAGTTTTTTTTTTTTTCTGAGAGGTTTTCACTATAGGGCGCGTGCGCTTGCCAGACAGAGAGAGACAGAGAGACAGAAAGCGAGAAATCACCCCCCAGAGGGGATGGTCATGCCGCAATCCCTTCTCCTCCATTCTCCTCTCGGGATCTTGGGCACGCATGCACACGCGCCCGGCGTGAGTTTTAAGCCACCGGGTCCGGGACGCGAACCGCGGTCGACCACGTGGGAATCCAGCGACATAGCCGTTATGCTAATTGCTGGTTCCCTAGAAAACAGGCTTAATAACTACCTGCTACAGCTGTAATGGGATTAGCTGAGATAACAGACTATACGACTAAAAAAATCATTGTACGTATATGGGTTAATTTTAATTCTGTAGCCTGATTTGCTAGTCCCTGATTAGTCATCTAGCTAGATAAAAGCAAATCAATGAATAAGAAACAAAAGGTATGAACCATGTGTATATAACCTCACCAAATACTAGCCAGACTTAAGTTTCTATGGTGCCTGACTTCAATTAAAAACACAAGGGTTCAAAGAACCAAGTGGCACAATGTGAGAGAAACTGCTTTGCCTACCGGAGTTTTCATTTCCCTCCGTTACTGAACAGTGAGTGGCTGGTGCTTATCATTTTTACAATCTCAAACAGAAGTGGTCACGCCCTAGTACGTTACTCACAGAACTATGTCTTTACAGAGATTTGAATAATTTTAGATGCTTAGTGATTTGTAATGAAACTGGAATATTCCTAAAAAATTTAACCTTGGTAATTCTCCTGGATATTAAAGAAGAAAGAGTAAAATCAGTAACTCTGGAAACTAGATTCTCATCTACAAGTATATCTTTCTGCTCACTGTACCTCAACAATCTCCTTACACTGAAGTTTTCATTTCTACCGTCACAGTTCATGACAAATTCCAAATATCTATGTTTTATTTTTTTCTCTCTCTCTCTCTGTTTTCTAAGGTTTTTGCTATAGGGCATGAATGCTTGCTGGATAGAGACGGGTGAAAGTGAGAACTCGCCCCCCCTCCGGGGGGGGGGGGGCCCGATGGCACATTGCAGTCCCTTCTCCTTCATTCTTCTCTTGGGATTTTGGGCACACATGTACGATGTGCCCGGTGTGATTTTCAAGCCACCAGGTCTATGACTTGAACAGTGTTCAGCCATGTGGGAGTCTGGTGCCTTAACTACCATGCCACCTGCTGGCCCCTTGGGTATTTTTTCTAATATCAGTTGTATAAGATCTTAAATCCTACAACAGGATCATTTTGATCTAAGTTTACCTTTTCTGATGATTCGTGAAATATTTGAAAATTCTTGTGCACAAGATTTCAAATGTACATTGTAACTGACCCATTAATGAATTAAATCAATGCAGTGAGAATTGTCATCAGCTTTAAAAAAAATAAATTGCTAGCACACAGTTCAAGTCTTGGACCCAGAGGCCTGAAAAACACGTCATGTATGTGTGTGTGCATGACCAAAATCCCGAAAGGAGAATGGAGAAGGGACTGTAGCATAGCCATTCCTCTTGAGGGGTGATACTCTCACTGTCTCTCTCTCTCTCCCTGGGAAGTGCATGTGCTCTGTAGCAAAATTAAAAAAAAAAAAATAAAAACTAGCGGCATGTGCATTTGCCAGAAAAAGACAGGGAAGGAGACGGAGAACACACCTCCCAATGGGGCATGGCCATGCTGCAATCCTTTCTCCTTTCTCCTCCTGTCAGAATTTTGGGTGGGCAGGCATGCACATGCTCCCCCAACTATGTGGTATCCAGCTCTCTCAACCACCAGTCTGTGGGCCTGACTCCTAATCAGCTTCCTATGAAAGTAAAATTGGATTTTTAAATAATACCCCAAGGTATCTATGCTACAGAGCCTGGGGAAATACTGTTTCCCCCAATTTTTGTATTTTAAAAATAAGAGAACATGGGGCCGTGACAAAGTGTACTTATTATAGTTCTCAGTTAAAAAGTTATTACCAGGCAGTGTGCGACGCCTGCAGACACGTGGCCCCTTCCACAGCCACCTTGCCACTGAGGTGCAGGTGGGCCGTTTCAGATGTTAAGGCTTCTCAGTTTTACGTTCTACAGAGGTTACATTTCTGTGTGACTTACTGGAAGAAAACCACTCCAGCCGGGTGTGTGCATCTGACCATCTGACATGCGGTGTGTGGGCAAGAAAACATTTTTTAAATTTACGGTTACACGGATGTTTGCCAATATCAAAACCCAACAGCTAAAAGGCCAGTGGCAGACGCCTGCTTCCTACCACGACCGGGCAGCTGTCAGTGGCCTCCCTTCACTCTCGCCTGAACTCCTGCGACGCCCCACCCAGGAGAAGCACCAGTGGTCTCATGAAAGCTATCCGGAGAGCTACGAAATGAACAAGAGAACTTACTCTGTCCACATGGTATCCAGTTCAAGACACACCACCAGATGTTAAACATAGAGGCGTGGTGGTACACGTGAAGAAAAGTGATCTGGCTCGTCTTTTTCCGCAAAACAAAGAAAATCGTGTCCAGGAACTCGACCAGTTTGGAGAAGTAGTACCACCACAGCACCTTGGCTACCTGTGAGGATTGTGAAGGGGGAAGGTGAGGGAGCGACGGTGTTCCTCGCTGCCATCTGTGCTTCAGGGTGTGCGCCGCTCCCCACGTTGTGGGAAGAGTGGCTCACCGCTAGCTGGTGTCCTTGCCGCTAGCTGCTTACTCTAAGCAATCTACCGCCTCTAGTGAAAGATGAATGATCTTTCTGAAATATTAAGTTGGTGCAAAAGTAATTGCAGTTTTGCATTGTTGACATTTGCCATTTGATATGGGAGATTTTTTTTAAAGAAATTTTTATTCATTCATTTAATTTAACTAGAGATGAGACAGAGAGAGAAAGTGAGAAAACAAGCCACCAGTTCCAGGACTCAAACCGTCGTCGGCCATGTGGGAGTGTCCAGCACCTTAACCACCACGCCATCCACTATGGGATACACTCTTAAATAAATGTCATACATCATTTTAATGTACATTTCTCCCTTTTTGTTGGGGGGGCTAATAATTTATTGCTTGCCATTTTAAATGTATTCTAAACTATGGAAATTGTTAGACAAAAAACAAATTTGAATAATGTTCTTATTCGAGTTCAAAGTGGTTTGTAAATCAGCGAAGATGGCTTGCAGCAGCAGCAACCCACTGGCTCAGCAACTGCTAGGAACATACAGTGCAGTGAGGGCTCACGAAGTTTCGCAAAGGAGACGAGAGCTTTGAGGATGAGCATGGTGGCTGGCCACTGGGAGTTGACCACGGCCTATTGGGATCATGCACTTAAGTGCCCAAATCCTGATTGGATGGAGAGATGGAGGATTGTGACGTGACCACACTCCACAGGGGAGATTTTTCCTTTTCCCTCTTTAGCGAGCACACCTGCTTCTGGGAATTAAAAATAAAGTTTATGGAATCGAAGTATGAATTGCTTTTTAGATTTAACTTTGTTTCATAATTATGTAAACCGGGGTAACTTCTTGCTTTCTCTCCCTCTGTCTTTCTGGTGAGCGCACACGCCCTATAGTAAAAAATCTCTTAAAAAAGAGAAGATGAATTCATGGCACACCCTTGGGTAAAACGTTTGAGAGACAAACTGTCAGTATAACAAAATCAGGGGTAGGCATGGTTCCAAAATCACTCCTCTCTGCCCTGTCCCTTCATCTGGAAGGACACAGTTCTTATTAGCTTTGGATTTGCCATGCCATCATGTAACATGCACACTCATTTCACTTTTGCACAGAAGGTACTATGCTATTATACTGTAAGTTGCTTTTTTTCATGTAAATATATTCTGGAGAAAGTTCCGTAATGGTGGCAAGACTTTCCTCACTACACTTTGTAGAGCGTCCTCTGCGTGGACAGGCTATGGCTTTTCAGCCAGTCCCCTCTGAATGGACACTTGGGAAACATCTTTGCTACCTGTCATTTTACTGTAACAGGAACTCCTAACCCCACCCACCCTCATATCTGGAAGGAGACAATGCCTTGTCCGTCCCAACCAGAGACAGCGCTAGGTGGTTGATTTGCTCTGCAAACTCACCCGGATATCAGCTTCCCCAGCACTGTCAAGATTTTGACACTGTAAGTTGTAGCCGCCTTCCCAGCTGGAGAGAATGAGCTGCAAAAGAGTCAAGAGGGAAAAAAATCACAAGAATTTGGACGCAAACAGAAGTTCCCATTCATATCTGACTGGCGTCTGTTCAAGGCTGGAGTGGGAATGTCCCAGAATTGTCTCAATCCAATCATGTTATTAAGGGATTTAATTCCTGCAGTTGAATTGAAATGTATTTTTACTTTTATTTACATCAGCCCAAAATAACAATTTAGCCATCATTTATGGTACAAAATTTATGCAAGAAATTAGTCAAGTTTCTACAAGTAAAATGTAGAATTAACTCGGTGTAAACCTCTGAGAAAACTACGCTAAAGATGTAATACTTCACATTGGTTCACATATTCATCTTATTTGACCATCAATAATTTTATGAGATTTTTTTTATTGCAGTTTTACAGATAACAAAAAAACAGGGCTCAGAAAAGTTCTTAGATGATTTTCTTCACTGTACTTATGGCTACTTGATAATCAGACAATTTATGTGATGAATTAACATCTATCCTTCCCATTTCTCTCAAAAAACCAAAAAGCTCCATTAAATAGTGCTGTTTTTGCTCATCTTTGCATCTACAGTTCTGTGCCCACTGTTTGGAACAGAGTAAGTGCTCAGCAAATATCTGAAGAGCAAATTATTGGCACATGACTATAGGGCTATAAAGTGGTAGGCTGGAGACCAGCAGTTGGCACAATGGCTATGTTGCTGGACTCTTCTAGTGTAGTCGACCACAGTTCGAGTCCCTGACCCAGTAGCTTAAACTCAGGCTGGGCGTGTGTGCCTGCATGCCCAAGATCCTGAGAGGAGAATGGAGGAGAAGGGATTGTGGCATGGCCATCCCCCCTGGGGGTGATTTCTCACTTTCTGTCTGTCTTTCTGGTGAGTACATGTGCCCTATAGCAAAAGCCTCTCCAAAAAAAAAAGTGGTGGGACAATGATTTAGATTTAGACATGCTAATTCATTACTCAGTGTTCTTTCCACAGCATCGTGAGAAAATGAGCTTTTTCTTAATTCTACCAAAGTTTTCTTCCTGTAAAAACTTAAAATTCTAGAGACCAGCAGTTAGTGTAATGGCTATGTCGCTGGACTCCCATGTAGTTGACCGCAGTTTGAGTTCCGGACCCGGTGGCTTAAACTCACACTGGGTGCGTGTGCGTGCATGCTCAAGATCCCAAGAGGAGAATGGAGGAGAAGGGATTGCGGTGTGGCCATCCCCCCTGAGGGGTGATTTCTTGCTTTCTGTCTGTATGTCTCTCTCTGTCTGGTGAGCACATGTACCCTATAGCAAAAACCTCTCAAAAACAAAAAAAAAACTTCTATAAGGCACTTGGTTTTGATTTATATGTTATTATAGTCAATAGACCTACTGTTTCCTGTCTTACATCTAGAGCTGTGTGATCTGCCATCTCTCCGTCTCATCTGAATCCATTCTCTCTCCTATCCACTCTGTCACTCAGTCTCAGCGCAAATGTCACCTCCTCAGAGAGGCCTATCCTACCACCAGCTTGTCACTTTCCATCCTACGGGTCAAGTCTGTGCCGTAGAATCTAGAATAGACTGACACAGCGTAGAGGCTCCGTAAGTATTTGTTGAAAGAATGGTAATCATCGTTGGTGACTCCCTGTCCTAAGCAAACATGTAGCCAGGGCATAACTTAGCAAGGTTAAACCTATTTCTAGACTAACATCTCTGAGACAAAACCTGAAAGTGCATTATAAAAATGAAACTGATGTAAAGGTGTTGATGACCAAGAGAGGAGACCGGCACATGATGAAGGCAGAGCTATGGAACTGAGAGAGAGAGAACGGCGTGAGAGGGCGGATAAGCAGCAGGTAAAATCAGGGGCAGGCATGGATCAGTGCAGACATGTTCCCCCAAGAAGCGACAGAAATCATTTACTTGGTCATTCAAAGCTCTATTGTATTCCTGTTCCTGTCAGTGGTAACTAGTGCTCAACTAGAACTTGGTCATTTAAAAGCATCCTCACACTTACTGACTCTTACTGTGTACTGGTCTATGAGCCCTTCAGGCTCGAAAGTCACATCTTACACATTTTATACCTTCAGAGTTTGCAGAGCTCACAGCACCCGTGAGGAGCTCGGTAAATGTTTGCTAAACAGAGTTCATTAATTTTTACAACTCACCCAAGAGTTAAGCAGGATAAATGTATGTCCACTTTATAACAGGTGGCCTTAGGTTCACAAAGGCCAAGCAACTTCTCCATATTACACCAAGTAGCACCGTGGAACGAGCACCCGCTGTCTGACTCCTGTGCTAAAGCTCTGTTCACAGGCATCAGCGGCTAGGGGGTTGGACACTGAGGCTGGCCCCTGCGAGGGGATTCAGCCTGAAATGCAACACAAGGAAGAGCACCTTTCCTTTATTGTATAGAAAGATTAATCCCATAATTTGCTATCTTGCAAGCTCATCTAGTGAGTTCAATTCACCTCGTAAAGAACCGAACATAGAAGCTCTTTTCAGAATCGGGTAAATTAGCGGCAGCCATGAGATGTGATTTAGAGTTGGCAGCACGGCTTCTTTAATCCCAAATTTCATCTCCTGCTCTCTGGCTTACACCTGGAATTCCATTATTGGAGCTTCATTCTCGTTATTCCTTCATTTAAGGTAACAGTTATTCCCCATTGTAATGGTGCATATTAGAATAATGCACAGAATAATCTCTGGGTCAGAGACCATGTATTTTAAAGCAAGGATTTATTTCCTTTTAGAATTTGAGCACACCTGGGGCTGGCAGGTGGTGTGGTTGTTGGGAGCGCTGGATTCCCACCTGGCAGACAGCGGTTTGAGTCCTGGACCCGACTTGTTTTCTCACTTTCCCTCCCTCCCTCTCTCAACTCTGTCCCTCACTGGTCAAATTAAAATAAATAAAGTTCGATAATACAATTGTAAAAAAAAATATTTCAGCATACCAAGAAGGCAGCTATATTTGCACTATCAGCCACTTATAACTTGTATGAATAATGTTTTCCTAAAAGATGATTTCCCTCTCATTTGTTTATTCACTTATTTCACTGGAGCAAGTTTAGCACACTTAGATTTTCCCCTTGTGTTATGCAGAGTAGAGTAACTTTGGTTGTATAGGCAGGGCAATCACTACTTGTTCTTCCCTCACAAAACCAGGTGGGTTTGGCGCTTTACAAAGGAATGAGTGTGTGATGTAAGGGCCTGAGGGCTGAGCTGGAAGGTCAGTGTGAAATATATGCATAGTCTTTTCACAATATATATCTTCCACATACTTCTTGAAGACCCCTCACACTTGCATTTCAGTCAACTAACTGCTTTTGATGTTCTAAAAATACTGTCGTTCAGTTACTGTCTATTGTCGAGCAAATGATGTAACTTTTCTAAGCCTCGGTATCATCATTTGTAAAAGGAAAACATGATTTTTAAAGGCCCGCCGAGATCTAAATGGTGATTCTAAATTATAAGTAGATTGCGGCCCTAAAAAAAAAAAATCAGGAGGCCTAAATTGGGACGAGAAAAATTCCAGCTAGAAACAAGTGTTGTGGGGCACTGAGAGGGGGTCACACTGGAGCAAGTTCTCGAGGTCTGAGGACAGCACTGACAGTGGCGCTGGACAGTTCTGGGGCCCAGCGGTGACTACAGCAATTCCACAGATGGCTGGGTTAGTGACTCCCGCGTTCACGACATGAACACTCACCTCCGCCAGCATGTACGCAGACAGCAGTGTGATTCCAAGGTTGTACAAGGTGAGCACGCCCCGGAGGGAGAGCGCCGGCCTGTCCTTCATGTACTTGGTGCCCAGCCATATGGAAAGCAGGTACACGACGGTGAGGCAGAAGGTGGGGAGGTAGGAGTCCAGCATGAGCCAGCCTCTGACCCGAGCGTCTGTAAGAAACACACCGGGTGGGCACCCCGAAGGGGAACGCTTCTGTTGACAATGTTGTCACACGTGTTTCACTTCATTCACCTTTCACACACAACAGGGAACAAGGTAACACAGCATTACGAAGCTGGATTTGGGTTAGCGTTCCAGGGAGGGGAAGCCCGTGGAGGCTGAACAGTTGAGGATGATCGTTTCATGGAGCGAATGGACTGAGCTGAACACTGAATGACGGGGAGCAGAGAGAAGTGGGGCGTACCGTTCTCACGTGCCCCCGAGTTTGTTTATGCTGGTCAGTCGGTATGAAGTCAGCATAAGGACTGTCATGCCATTTTATGGATGAAAAGAAACGGCCCCGAGAACTTTAGTGACTTGCCACAGGACGTAGGGTGGTTAGTGGCCTCGTCGCTGCTGCTGCCTGGCCGCCACACTGTGCTGCTGTCCTTCCATGGAGAATAGCTGAGTGGTCAGGGAAGGCCGAGCAATATTGTACCCTTATTCCGAAAATGCACACTGGCCCAGTCAGCCTGGGATCACTATGCAGCAAACCAGAGATGGGTTTCGAGTTCAGAGGATCCACACACACTGATGCATCATGGGAAGCTGAAGACAGCAAAGCCAAGACTTGAAGCTGATGCTTCAATCTGGGAGCAGAAAATGAAACTAAGCACCCAGGCCTGGCTCCAGAACTAGGAGTTTAACAGGGATCCCAGCAAGAATCTGGATACTATATTTATATATATATAAAGGGCTATCTACCATCTAGCTAGCTAGCTTAAAAAACACATTGAGTCAAGTACATACTGCAAAGCTAATAGAGCACCTGATAAGAAGCTTGGTTCTTACTCTAGGGGCAGTGGAAAATACGGGTGGGATTTAAGTTAGAGTACTGCACAATGACGTGGGTCTTCAGGATATGATTCCAGCTGATACTTGATAAATGACTGGAGGAGGGAAACAGATGGGGAGGGGAGGGCACCGTGGTGGTCTAAGAGACTGGTGATGGAAGGGAGATAGATTGGGTTCTAAGCTCATTCTAACGTTCTGGGCAGAGACTGCACGTGCATTCTCCCTCCCTCCCTCCCTCCCTCCCTCCCTCTCTCACTCACTCTCTCTCTCTCACACACACACACACACACACACACACACTGTTCAGACAGCATCTACAATAGATGATGTTTTGGCTAATATGAGCCTCCTGCCTCAGCCTCCCAGCTGAGCTGCAAGTACACGCCGCTGCACCAGCCTCTTTTTAGACAATGCCTCACTATGCCCAGGCCAGCCTCAAGCTTGTGACCTTCTTGCCTCACTCCTTAAGTTGCCGGGGTTACAGGTACATATCATCCTGTCTGGGTTGTTTGTTTGTTTGGGCACTTTGCCATAGGGGGCGTGCCCTCACCTAGGAGAGAGAAGGATAGTGAGAGGAAAAGTGAGAAATCACCCCCGAGGTGGGGGATGGCCAAGCACAGTCCCTTCTCCATTCTCCTCCTGCATTTTGGCACGCAGGTATGCATGCCCGACATGATTTTCAAGCTGCCAGGTTCGGGATGTGAACCATGGTCAGACGTGTGGGAGTCCAGCACCTTAACCATTATGCCACATGCTGGTCCATGCTTGGGTTTTTTGGCTGTACTGGGAACCAATCCTGGGTCTCCTGTGACCCCAGCCTGCACAGTGCAGTGTCTCAGTGACTTGTGCTAACACAGCTGGGCACCAAAGCGCAGACATCTATAAAGAGGATTTGTGAAGGCAAGTGAGGACTACGTGTGAGGAAGGTGGAGGATGGTACTGCCACTTGGAAGGGAAGCCACGGCCTGGCACTGTAGCCAGAGAGCGGCGGCAGGAAATGACTTCATTTAACTCTGTCGGCTTCCTGCTCCCAAGAATGTCTTTAATGCCAGGAAAGGTTGAGCAGGAGGAGAAACGAGGCCTTCTGGATGTTCTGAGAAAAGGATGTCAGAGGTGAAGGAAGTTTATGTTAGTGCCACACCATCTCCAAGACACCAAAAGAACACCGCCTTTCTATGATAAATGGCACTCTTGCTTGGATTCCTATGTTATTCTGAGTAGCCCACTCACCTCGAGGCCCAAACATATTGTCCAAAAATGCATTGACTTCATCATCAAAGGCTTTTAGATGCTCCTGAAATAGAAAGGAAAAAGGATTTTAAAAAATATTTAACTCTCAAAAGTTACTACCAACTTTAGACTCTCCCAGAAGCCCAGCCTCAGGAACTTGACCATGCACCCTGAGGGACAGCAGACCAGTTAGTGCAGGCTCTGTGCGGCCGGCCTCGCCTTCTCCAGCTACTGTAAAGATCTGGAAGGAAACGATTCCTATGCATTTCCTTGGGCAGGAGGAGACCTTATAAACAGGCCTGGTGTGATTAAACACTTACAGGTTACTGACCTTAATTCCATCCCCCTCTAAAATGCTTAAAGGCGAGACTGACCCCCAAGCAACTCCCACTGCTGCAACTAACAGAAGCTGTGTGAGCAACAGGGGAAGCCTATTCCCATGGAATAAAATGCAGTTTTTAAATGAAAACGCAGCTATGTTGTTTTTCATAAGGCTGAATCGAAAGCTTTAAAGAAAACTTGCTTTTCAAGGAAGGAAATGAGAGCAGTACAGTTTTTTTTTTCCTATCACCTTTATGTTTTGTTTTCAAGCTTACATTAACATCTACTTAATATGGTAGACAGTGTCACTTGTGTGCGCCGGATTAACTACTGTTGCCACCTGCATTCGAAGATCACTGCTAAGGGTCTTAAGGTCCTTAAGTTCCAAACTTGATTTAGTTTCTGTTTGTGTTCTTCTGCTATCACGCTGCTCAAAATACCTGCTGAGGGGTCCCTGCCCCTGCTACGGATGTCTAGAGCCCCTCCTAAGACAGACAGGACAGAGCATGTTTCCAGGAAAGGGGTCTCTGGCACGCATTTGGGCCCACGGGTTCTCCCCTGACCACATATGAGTTGGGCACAGCAGTCTCAGGAAGTTCACAGAACGGGCTCGAGGCACAGTCAAGATGCCATAAGAGCTCAGTCTCAAAGCGTAAGTGCCAAAGAGGAGAATGAGCAATCATCTACTGGCCTCTGGAAAGAGGATTTGACGTTTGGTGATTGGCACGTATCACTCAGACCTACCCCTTATTTGTGACTTTGCTCCTGAGAGAAATTTCAAGGAAGCTCAGGTCTTTGGGAACTTTGAAAAGCTTGGGAAGATGCTGAGGTGAGCGACTAATGTTTACTAGCGCCTACCATGACTGCTGGCCAGTGTGTTATGAACTTTATTTTCATTATTTCATAATATTCCTGTAAAAAGCATTAGGGCAAAACCAAGCTTGTAAGTTTTTAAACAGTGTGTGTGTGTGTGTATGTGTGTGTGTGTGTATACACACACACATACACACACACACATTTTCCCATTCCGAGAGTGACAGGAGATGGTCTGGGTTGCCATTAGATTGGGGCCGATCTGCCCAGAGGCCTCTCATTCTTGAACAGAGTATTAACCTCCTAGAGGTACTCACCTCATGACGGATGCCAATGAAATCTCCCTGCTGTTGCCATATCCGTGAACAAATGTTGAAACTCTTACAGTTTGTTTGCTAAGGTTCAAAATCCATTTGCCAACATTTGTACAGCTAAGAAAAACTCAAAGGCCACAAGGCTGGCATTTCTATATTGCAGAAATTTGGTTACAGTGGAACGAGAGGAAACAAAAGTAAAATGAAGATGTGAAGAGAGAGCAGAGAAGGAAAGAGATGAATAAAAAGGGACGTCTGTTCTTTCATTCATTGACTGTCTTGTCAACCAGTTATGTGGGCATTTCTACGTACCAGCACTACGTTAGATGCTGAACCACAAAGTCAAATGAGAATGCTCTTATCCTCATGGTTTTCAGTCTAGACAGAGCAACAGATGAGTAAATAAAAAAAGAACAGTACCAGTGTTCTTAAATATATGCTATCGGGGGATGGAGAAAAGCATTTTGTTTAAATCTCTTAAAAGAGAAAGCTTCCAAGAAGAGATGATGCTACTGCTAAATTTTGGAAGTCTCTGACATGGTCTTTGTCGAGAGGAACGAAGAATCCTATCAGGAAGAAAGAGGAGCATATACATGTACAAGACAGCAAATACACACTGAGGTGTGGTCGCCCGGAGAATGTTTATGGCTAGGGTTTCTAGTGACCGACAGGACAGCCAGAAATACAGCCAGTGCAGGGGAAATCACACACGTGGGAAGGAGGGGGTCTAAGATGACAGTAAGGAGTGCAGATGAACAACTGAGAGTTTCAGTGGACCCGCACAATGTAAGCACAATACAGTGTTGTCGTGTGAGTCGAGGGTGACACTTCGCAGAGGAGGGCAGAGTGAGCTTGGCAAGGAAGAACTGCACATCGGTTGTGCAGCTGTGAATTGTGGATTGTAAATCTGTTATGAAAACATGCTGGACAATTCCCAGGCTCTGAGAAAAACTGGAGAAGCCCATGCAGCCCTTCATCCCCTCAAATATTTCTGAACAGCATTTGTGTCCACAATACTGTGTCAGACATAGGAAGAAAATGTGGTTGATTCAGGAGCTTACAGATTGGGAACAAGGACATACAGGAAGGCAAACAGCAAACAAGGCGAGGAGATGCACAATGGCACGGCGAGGGAGGGGAAAGGAGTGAGCTATCCAAATGAGTTTGAAACTTGATTACAAGTTGGGCAGATGAAAAAAGAGAGGAAGAGTATTTCCCTTAGACCTGAGCTCCATCCGTGCCTTCAAGGGCCCCTGATCATCCTCGAGCCGTACACCTCCACAGGGGAAGGAGAATCCTTTGAGCCAAAGGAAATGCCTGCCTACCCATGGCCACAATTTTCTCATCCAGATTGTGTGTCTCCGGCTGCAGAACTCTCTGCCAAATGACCCTGAGCCCACTTCCAGAACAACTTGCTCCCACAAGACAGTCCATGCTTCATGACTTGAAATTCAGCGTGTGGCTGTGCACGGCAAACTCTGCATGGAAGATGCAAAGCGAGGAGGACCTTATTAACTGTGTATTCCCAGCTTTGTGCTACAGCTGGTGGGAATGTAAAATGCTTGACACTTAGCAAAACAGTTTGGCAGTTTGGTAAAAACATAAGCATGCACCTGCTGTATGATCCAGCATGCCACTTCTAGGTACTTACCCAAGAGAAGAGGAAGCATATTCCCACGCAAACATGTGTACAAAGCTATTCTCAGCAGCTTCATTGGTACTAGCCAAAAACCAGAAACCCCGAAATGTGCACTGACAGGTGATAAATCATTGCATAGCCATACAATGAAATACTCAACAATACAAAGAATGAACTGTTGATGCACACACCACGCATGGACAGATTTCTAAGTGATGCTGCAGGAAAGAAGCTAGACAAAAAATATATACACACATGCTATATGTTTCTATTCATACAAAATTCTAGAAAATACCACTTATTTATAGTGATAGCAGATCAGTGGTTGCTTGGGGACTGCAAGGGAAGAGGCCAGATTATCCTTCAAAAACGAGGTTACACAAGGACATTTTCAAAAATGCATACGTGAGATATTTGCAGACAAGCAGGACTGTACTATATGGTACGCTAAAGATATTCTTCATGCCAAAGGGAAATGATTCCATATGGAAAATAGAATTTGCAGGAAAAAATTGAGAACACTAGAAATGTCATTGAAAAGCCATCACTCTGAGCACCCTAAAGCAAGCTAGTCTCTGCCCCTGCCCGCACCACATCCACTGGTACTGAAGTCCACGTTAGGTATCAAAGAATCTGCGTAACATTTATACCTGGCTCAAGCCACATCTTTAGATCTCGGTGAGCTCACCATAGCGGGGAGTAATGCTGGCTCCTGTCCATCAGACACTCAGTAAGTGCCAGCTGCTTCATGCATACTTACTGTCTATGCTGCTCACAACAGCCTTGCAAGTCGGCCGTCTCCCGATTTACCAGGGCAGACACTGAGGCTGGCTGCTCAAGCGTGACGGTGTCCTGTGAGCCTCGAACTACAACTCAGTCTGACCTTCTCCAATTTTGGACCTCCAGGCTGGAAGGTTTCAGAGGCTGCACAGCAGAAGTCTCTTTACAGAGCTCATGCTCCTTTCTTGTGCTAATCCTAAACCGACAAAGACTACAGGAGTGATTTTATTAATATTTGCATCCCGTATAATCTAGAGGCAACAGGACAGTGCTATTCAGCTAAAGGGATAAAAGGATTTTTCAAAGAACAGAAACCATGACTGTGGGTTATGCTCCACTTCTCTGCATGGCTCTCCAACTCACTTCACTCACAGTCTGGTCAAACAGTGGCTGTTTGTCTCCCAGATCATCTCGCGGCCTAATTACACAGGAAGAGGAAAGCTTCTGCCCGTGGTGTCCTGGCCTGTGCGGCGGGATCATTCACTAACCCCTGCCCTGCCTTATGCAGTTTTCTTCATAGAAAAACTCATTACGGGACCAGCAGTTGGTGTAACAGCTATGTCGCTGGACTCCCATGTAGTCGACTGCAGTTGGAGTCCCGGACCCGATGGCTTAAACTCACGCCGGGCACGTGTGCATGCGTGCCCAAGATCCCAAGAGGAGAATGGAGGAGAAGGGACTGGGGCATGGCCATCCTCCCTAGGGGGTGATTTCTCCCTTTCTGACTCTCTATCTTTCTTTGTGTTTCTGGTGCATGCATGTGCCCTATAGCAAAACCTCTCAAAAAAATAAAAAGAAAAACTCATTACTTACTTATTACCCACATTTCCACTGGCAAGTTAATTTGTTTATTGTCTGCGTCCTCCACTAAAATGTAAGCTCCAATTAACCTCAATTTCAAGAACCATTCCTGGCACATAACAGGCACTTAGTATTTATTGAATGGATTAATAAAACAGTCTTCTGAACCTTCACAATCCTCACTTGATACTTATTCCCTATTACTTTGCATTCATAATCATATTTTCACATATATGATCTGATTTCCAATGTATTTTGAAATATTACTAACGAGATTTAACTCTTGTTTTAACATCAAGGCAACTAAATCTAACTTTATTTAAATTTTTAAAAATTTCTTCCAAATAACAGAAAAAATTTGCTATATGTCTTTTTTTTTTTTAATTGCCAAAAGGT